TATATATATATATATATATATATATATATATATATATATATATATATATATAAATATAAAATAAATGAAGATTACAAAATGGATTATGTAAATAGAAGAACTCAATTTCATATATTTAATCCTTGCCTGGTACGATTTCATAGTCTTAGAATTCAATCATTCTATTGAACCATCAGCTTTGTATTTTTTGGTCTAACACGAACAAATGGCGTCGGAGGAGTCTTATCGAAAGTTTTGTATGACCTCTTTGAGCAGAGGTTTGATGTTCAAACCATTTTCGAACTTAAAAGGACGTCAACTCCAAATAAATCACCTAACGATTTGGGCTTCTTTGGTTAAACTTCAATTATACCTCAACCTAAATTGAAGTGTATATATATATATATATATATATATATATATAATGTAATTGTTGTTAGTAGATGGTCTCAGTCACGAACAATCAAAAAGTTCGGAAGACCCAAAATGAACAAGCCGACAGTGGAATCCAATGCAACTAACGACGGAAAGTTACGCTGGGATTTAGGGTTTATCTCAGCATCTACATTATCCATGGATTTATGGACTGACAACAGATCCTCCAACTCGGATCCTAAACGGATCCAGTAATAAACGGGCTGATCGTGACATAAATCCGATGAGTACTCTGTTCTATTTGGATTCTATTTTGATCACACTATGATCCGACATCCGAGCTCTGTATTGGGCCTCAGCCCACACACTGACCTTCTAAGATTCAAATTTCCATCCGTTCGCATCAATATGGATCCGGGTTCGCTAGAGGTCTCCTCGCCGCCTCCCCCAACTCCTACCGTAATTAGGATCGAAATCAGACACCTTGTCCTGAGCCAGACCATGGCGACCAGCGACTCCTCCGACTCCCACGACCGAAGAAGCCGTCGCCGCCACCGCCACCGCGAAAGCAGAAGATTCGGAGGAGCCGCCGCCGCTAATCGCGGCTCCCCGAACGGCTTCGGAACTTCTCTGTCCCGCGGCGCCAATTCTAGGGTTTCGCCCGTTGAGCGTAGAGGCCGTCGCGGCTCGGAGAGCGAGAGTTCCGATTCTGATAGCCGCGAGAAGGTGCGGCGATCGACGACTGAGCGCCGACATCGACATCTTCGTGATGAAGAAGGGAAATCGAGGAATCACATATCCGATAGGAGGCGGCGCGATAGCGATGAGGAAGATGACCAGGGAAAGAAGGAAAGGAGGTTGAGCGGTAGCGGTAGTGAGGATGACGGCGAGGCGAGGAGGAAAAAGAGGCGGCGTGGTAGTGATGAGGACGCTGGGAAGGGGAAGGAGAAAAGAAGGCAACGGTCCGATGAGGAGGATAGCAGGCGAAAGAGAATGAGAGACGACAACGAGTTGCGTGATAGAGATTCGCACCTCCACAAGGATAGGAGGGATAAGTTTGAGGAGAGCCCACCTCGGAGACGAGAAGCCCGTTCCAGTGGACGAAAGGGAGGCCGACGACACGAAGAATGGAGAAGAGACGGTGAAGAGCAATCGTCAGATGACGAAGAAAGCCCTCGACGGCGAGAAAGGAATAACAGAAATAGTGATCGGCGTTCAGATGACCGACATAGGGATTATGATAGTGAAAACCATAGGGATAGGACTGCAGAAGAAGGCAAGGGCCGAGACCAAGAGATCAAGAAGGTGGAGAGTCAACCACCACCAGCACCTGCTTCAGATTCTAATATCGGAAGGACTGGTGGTATCTACATCCCTCCTCACAGGATGGCCCAAATGATGCGTGAAGTGCAGGATAAGAGCAGCGAGGCATACCAGCGATTGAGCTGGGATGCCCTGAGGAAGAGTATCAATGGGCTAGTGAATAAAGTAAATGCTACAAACATTAAGAACATAATTCCTGAGCTCTTCATGGAGAATTTGATTCGTGGACGGGGACTTTTCTGCCGTTCATGCATGAAGTCCCAAATGGCATCCCCTGGATTTACGGATGTCTTTGCTGCATTGGTTGCAGTTGTCAATACCAAGTTTCCTTTAATTGGCAGGCTTCTTGTTGTGAGAATTGTCTTGCAACTCAAGAGGGCTTATAAAAGGAATGACAAGGTAGGCATTTGGGTTTCTTATTATCTAGCTGCAGTTTCATTTTGTATTTTTTGCTCAAGTAAAAAATGTTAACCTCTGATATGTTGTCTGTGTTCTCTGTGTTTTAGCCTCAACTACTTGCTGCAACCAAATTTATAGCTCATTTAGTGAATCAACTAGTAGCACATGAGGTTATTGCTTTAGAGCTTCTCACTGTGCTGTTGGAAAATCCTACAGATGACAGCGTAGAGGTAAAATGTTGTGATTAAGATATTGATGCGTCTACAATTGTTTTGGATTTTTCTTATATCTTTTCTTTATCCATGTGAAGGTTGCTGTTGGATTCGTGAAAGAATGTGGAGCATTACTTCAGGACATTTCACCCCAAGGCCTCCATGGTGAGCTAGTTTTTGTTTGCAAAGCATTTTCTACTTTGGATAATTTTTCATATTGGTTATTTTTAGGAATATTGCAAGGTCCTGGGCTCGAATCATTCTTTCGCCACTTGCCCTTTGCCAAAAAAAAAAAAAATTCCTGCAATTAGAGTATTAGATCACATTTGAGTTTTGTAATGTTCAAACCTAAATTTGAACTGTTGATACCAAATATTCTTTAATTTTTGCAGACTTCTAGCCTTTTGATTTGTTTGATGTACTTGAATGAGGCTTTAAATTCTGCCGGAAGAATATCATATTTACAATACATGTTTTGATGGATGATTGTTAGTATATTGAGGGCAACAAAGTGCTTGTGTTTACCATGTTATCTTTAAAGTTAAGTATTGTAGCACAGCTTTTTGGTAATCATAATCATAATATCAATTTCATTTCTTCCCAGTTAATTTGATCTTATAGGGCTTCTGCGCACATGGGTAATAGAAGGAATCCAAGGTATAACTAATATCAATATGTTGATTAAATATGTTTCGGTATTAAAAATAAAATTCATAAAAGTCTAAGTATATACATGAGCATAGCACCATTAAAAATGAATAAGAGACCATGAGCTATTAAGAATCAAGCAACGGAATGCAATAAAATATAATATAATAACACATGACAATCAAGTATGCAGACACTATAACATACACGTCACTGTTTGTCACTGGCTATTGAACTTATCGTTCAATAAAAGCAAAATAGATATTAAGAAAACATAGAATACGAAACACTTCCACTTGTGAATTGTTAATCTCAGTAGGAGACAACAATGAGGGGAAACATCTTAGCTGGTATAGGCATAAGATAAGGAGCATAAACTGTGGTTAGGCAAGGTGAACCAATTAGCATTAGTATTGCAAAGAGAGGAGCAGAGGAACTGAGAAACTTCAAAATGCACTTAATTTAACAAAGGATCTATATTATAGAACATACTGACGGGAGGAGATCCATGCAACGGATAGCGATCATAAATAGCTGCGATGATATTGTTTGTTGTTATATGTTTGTCAACATTGTTTTTCTAGTGATCACAATAACTGCAATGTTATGGTTTGTTGTTATTTGTTTTTCAGCATTGTTTTTCAAATTTCTGTGTTACAAAGAGAGCAATGAAGAAGCATTCCCAAATAAATGAAATATTTGGAAGTGACAATTCACAGACACCCTTTCTTCAGATAGTCCAACTTTGAGAAGATATCAAGATGTATAGTTGCTGTATGTAGCTTCAGAAGTTTCAACGTCTCTTCTCTTTGTATGATGATAATTTGATGCTGTGAATAAATGTAAATTTTTGCCTTTGTATCTTTTTTTTTTTAACCTTATTGCATAAGTGATTGTCATTACAGTACACATTCACATGTATTTTACATGCTTGATCATAAAATAGTAATCTAAGTGGCAATTTTAGGGTATAAATAGGAATATACATTTTAGAGCAGCATTTGGAATATCTCAACATGGACCATGGTTTCTGTGGTTTTGGGTTATCTGTATATATCCCTTTTTGGTTCAACTTCTTGTGTTGTATTTTTACTAGTCACTTCAAGCCACATGCTAGTATTGTTAATTGCCTTTTTCAACAATTTCTTTAAGGAGTGTTTTTCTTTCATATTTTGACATGTTGATATTTTTATCTACAGGTATATTTGAACGTTTTCGTGGTATACTTCATGAGGGAGAAATAGATAAAAGGGTCCAATTTTTGATTGAAGGCCTTTTTGCGATACGAAAAGCCAAATTTCAGGTATGGTTTTATCAGTACAAGTGCTTTAATATGCATGTCTCACGTAAAAGATCCTAGGATATTCTGTAGGCTGAAAATTTTCCTTTGGTCTGACGATTCTCTATAGGGTTTTCCTGCTATTCGTCCAGAGCTGGACCTTGTTGAGCAAGAGGAGCAACTTACCCATGAGATATCCCTTGATGAGGAGATTGATCCAGAGACACATCTTGGTATTTATGTTTAATAAATTAGTTCATCTGTTTAGGTGTTCTTTCCTTGATGACTATTATAGATCTTTTTTTTTTTTAATTGCAGATGTCTTTAAACCAAATTTGAATTTTCTTGACGATGAAAAGGCTTATGAGGACCTTAAAAAGAGGATTCTTGATGATGAGTCTTCTGAAGATGAAGAAGGCTCTGATGTGGTCTCTGATGATGAGGAGGAAGAAGAATCTGAGGAAGATGAAACAGAAGAAATGAAAATAAAAGATGAAACCGAGACAAATCTTGTCAACTTACGAAGAACCATATATCTTACAATCATGTCAAGTGTTGATTTTGAGGAGGCTGGACATAAGTTGTTAAAAATCAAACTTGAGCCTGGTCAGGAGGTAAGTTATGCTCTGTACGGGCTTTGTTTGCGATCTACTTTCCCTTTAGAAGGCATTATTGCTTCAATTGGTCTGTGTTGCTAATTCAATTTTATCCTATAGAAGCCTAATGTTGCTTATTCTGATCTAGTCCTGGGATACGATGATATTTGCTCCATATTAAGCGTAACCATATAGGTTGTAGAGCCTTTTATTAGATTTCTTTGTGGAGAATGATAACTACCAATAAGAATGTATCATAAGCTATATAATCTCATGGCCACAGGCACAAGAGATTTTTTTTTTTAAATGTGGAATTTTGAGAAGAAATTTTACAGAAATGGCAGTTGCTCAAAGGACAAAAAGAACATTCAGCTAATAATTTGAGTTAATGAATTGATCTATAATCATATAACATGATTTACTTTCTAATTGTGTTGCTTCTGTTGTCATGTTAGAGAAGCCATGGTTTAGAATACCGGTGGTGCATACTGACTCATATTAATTGGTCTGGCCAAGAATTGATAACAAACCATACAGCTTGATGTTGCTCGGTCTGCCACCTTTTGGTACAATAACAATATTGGTTTGCTCAATTGTTGAGATTGGTGTTGGTCAGGGATAACACCTTGGATAAGGATAAAATTATGTAGATTATTGCAAAATTTTAGAAGAGGTTATTTGATTTTTTTCCCGACTGTGACATGAATTTAAGGTCCATATCTTGTAAAGCATTTATCTATTTTTTAGACATTTTCCAGTCCTTGAATTCTTAACTTCTCTCAGTGTCCCATATGCTATGAAGTGATTGCGACTTGGGTTTTGGGTATCACTTCAATCAAGGCCTACAGGCTTTACTAATTCTTCCTTCGGAGTGCATTTTGTTTTTTTTATTTTTTTATTGTAGGTCTAAATGCTTAAAGGCATGCCTCCACAGTGCTATACATATTATTTGGTTAAATTTGTGTGCATTGCATAAGATTGAATTTGTTCTTTGTAAGAGAATAAATCGTGTTCGTCTGTGGAAGCATTTTTTCATTGCAAAAAATCTTAAAGGCCAAATGGTCGATCAATAGAACAAAAGCCTATTTCTTTTGAAAAATGATGAGTGTGATTTTATTTTGCACGATTATATTGTCCACAAAATTTAGCTCTTTTTCCTTCTGAACTTCAACATAAGTCGAAAGTTCCTCTCCAAGTTCTCTTCATTCTTTGGGTGGATCCCCACCCGAAGGAAGAATGTGGTCATGTTTACTTCAAAAATAAGACTGGGCACTAGGAAAATTGTATCTTAGAAAAATGTGGGAATGTTTTCTAAACCCCACCCGAACGAAGAATGTGAGAATGTTTTCTTAAAAAATGAGGCAAGTTTTCGAATCCAATATTCAATTGTACTTTTATTTCCTAGATTCTGAACTACTGAATACATGATTTAGAGAAAGAAAGTAAATTAATACGAGGAAATTTTATCAATGAGTATTAAAACTTGTATTCCCTTTGACAGGGGAAGGATATTATATAGATAAATCATTTGAATTATTATACTACTATTAATATCATAACATACTTGTTAGTAACTATTATAAATTATAGTGCTTTTATTTTCATTCGCTGATAGACATGATCCACGTCCTAGTTCTCCATGTTTTTAGGTTTGGTTTTGTGTACACTTGTCTGCTACTGTTTGTTAGTTATGTAACTATATTGATTTGATACAACTTTTCCTAGTTCCCCTATTTATTTGTATTTGTTTAATTAAAATTTTGAATATGTGGTTGTGGGATCGTAATTGAAATTTTAGAAATCAACAGAACATTGTGCTCTTAATTGATTCATGCATATTTTTTTATGTACTAAATTTATAGATGTTACATACAGTGCATTTGGCTTCAGCGCCAACACCGCCAAATGCTGGCCCTAAGCCCGAATGAAAAAGGTGGAGAGTTGTGTAGGTCACTGATAACCAACGTAAAACTATGTTAGATCTCATGAACATGGATCTTAACTGATTTCAATATAGAGCTAGGTCATAATTTGGAAGTGATGTGAGATGCCTTCACCACTTAGTTGTTCTGAATTGCAAACAGTGGGCTAGGAGGTCGCTCAGAAGTAGCCTATCACATTGGTGCTTAGATATTGTTTTGGATCAATGGAAGTAAAGAAGTTAGTGCAAGAATAGAGGGTTAGGTTAACTACTTGGAATATAAGAACACTTTCAGGGAAAATATTAAAATTGGTAGACACTATGATCAGAAGAAGAATAAAATATTATTTGCTTACAAGAGACTAAGTGAGTAGGGAAAAAATCTAGAGAGATTGATAGTATTGAATTTAAAATTTGATATACCGAAAAAGTTAAACACAAAATTGGTGTAGGAATTGTTGTTGATAAGGATCTTAAGAAAAATGTTGTAGATGTAAAAAGATTATGAGATAGAATTATAGTTCTAAAATTTGTGAAAGAATGTTTTGAATGTCATTAGTGCTTATTTCTCTTAAGTTGGATTGGGTGATCAAACCAAAAGAAAATTTTGGGAAATTTTAGATGATATCATTCAAGGAATGCCTATAATCGAAAAACTTGTAATTGGAGGAGATTTAAATGATAATGTAGGGAAAACATATGGTGAATATAAAGGGGTGCTTGAGGACTTTGGTTATGGGGAGAGAAATAAAGATGGTGGTATGATTTTAGATTTTGCAACTTTGTATGATCTTATAATTATAAATACTCACTTTAAGAAGAGAGATGTACATTTGATTATTTATAAGAGTTATAATAACCATAGTCATATAGACTTTTTTCTTACAAGAAAGTAGATAAAGTTATTCGTAAGAATTGTAAAGTTATACCTAGCGAAAGTTTCATGGATCAAGATAGGTTGATGGTATTAGATATTTATTGTAGAAAATAAAGAAGAAAAAGATAATAGAAAATTTTGCTAGGATTAGATGGTGGAATTTTAAAGATGATAATGGAAACACTTTTAAGGATAAGATGAAAAGAGAGGTGACTTAGAACTTAGATGAGGATAATATTAATATTAATTGAACTATGATGGCTAACAAGATTCGGGCTTAACGAAAGAGATTCTTAGTGAAATTAAAGATATAGGTGTAACCTTAAAAGAGAGTTGGTGGTGATGCGAAGGAGTTTAAAAAATATTTTTTACTAAAAGATCATGTTTTAAACATTGGCAAAATTGTAAAAAAGAGAAAAAAAATTAAAAGATATAAAGAATCTAAAAAAGAGGCTAAAAAAACAGTTAGTATGGTAAGATATAGAGCTTATGATAATTTTTATACTAGATTAGGTACAAAAGATGATGAAAGAGATATATATCGAATTGATAAAGTCAGAGAAAGAAAGCATAATGATTTAGATAATATTAGATGCATTAAAAATAAAGATCAAAGAATACTTGTTAGTGATAACGAGATTTAAGTAAAGATGAAAAATTTATTTTTATAAATTATTTAATAAATTTTCCATATAGGACTTAGATCTAATGATAAATAATAGTGGTAGATTTAATAATCATATATTTGTTCATGAAATTAAAGCTAATGAAGTAAAAGATATACTAAAGAAGATAAAAATAACTAAGAGTGTAGGGCTTGATGGTATGCCGATTGAGATTTAGAGAAATTTAGGGAACAAGTGAGTAGCTTGGTTAACTAACTTACTCAATGGAGAAAAAATTTTTTAGTGTCGATTTACAAAAATAAAGGTGACATACAAAATTATTTAAATTATAGAGGAAATAAATGATATACTATAAAACTTTAGGAAAGAGTCATCAAAAGTAGGATGACTTGAAACAAATCTCGTTGAAAATCAGTTTGGATTTATGTCTGGAAGATCAATCATATAAGCTATTTATTTATTAAGACACTTAATGATAAAGTGTAGGAAGAAAAAGAAAGAATAATTTTTATTAAGTGAAATTAATTATAAACTTGAGCTATGGAGGCAAGCCTTAAAAACTAAATATTTTAGATTAAGTAAGACTAAAACTAAATATATAAAATATAATTTTAGTGATTGTAGAAATAGATAGGAGAATATAGTTAAATTGGATGAATGAGAAGTTCTTTTAAATAAAAGCTTTAGCTATGTTGGATAAATTATTTAACAAGATGGAGAGATCGATGAAAATATTGTTCATAGTTTAAAAATAGAATGATTAAAATGGCGAGGGGCGTCGGTAGTTTTGTGTGATTATCATATACCTTTGAAATTAAAAGAAAAATTTTATAAGACAGTTATGAGACCAACAATGCTTTATGGATGTAAGTGATGGACAATGAAAAAATAACTTATACAAAGAGTTTGTGTTGCCGAGATGAGAATGTTGAGATGGTTATGTGGAGTTACTATGAAAGATAGAAAAATAAATACTTTTGTTCGTGAACAACTAGGAATCGCTTCGATAGAAGATAAGATGAGAGAAAATCGTTTAAGATAGTATGAGTATGTGATTATAAGACCTTCGGATGCGGTAGTTAGAAGAGACGAAATGAGTAATTTTCGTGGTACAAAGGAGAGGTAGAGGAAGATTTAAAAAGACCTTAATAGAAATTATAAATAAAGACTTAAGTACTTTAAATTTCACTAAGCCTATGACTGTTTACATATTTCAATGGCGGCAAAAGATCCATTTGACTTGTTTCATTTTTCATCTGAACTGGTATTATAAATTGAAGCATGTTGCTAGACTTGCTATGGAAGCATCCAAATCATAGAACAATTACTCTTGCCTTTTCTTTTTTGTGAGAAATTTGTGTAGCTTTTATGGGAAAATTTTATGCTGAACTTTCTTTCGACTTAGATGGGACATGGTTATGTGATTGAGCAGACAACTTTAGTCTCATTTTGTTGTCATTTTTGCAATAACTGATATCATTCTTCATTTTCGTGTCTCCTTATTCTTTACTTTTGCTTCCTTTACTGGACAAATGATATAAGTTTAATTTAGTATTACTGTGTTCGTTGTTCATATAGAATACTGACCTATGTGATTTGAGCTTTTAGATAGCCTGCTTATTATATATCAACTGCATGTTACTCAATCTTGCTTGAGGATAAGTTTAGATAGCTTCATTGAACTGGTGATGAAGGCAATATGGAAAAGGTCTAAAATACTGGTTTGATATTGGTTTCAGCAAACTACCTGTAGCAGTTCTGGCAGGCATGCCAAAGAGATAATAAAAAAATAATCAAATAATGTTGAAACATGCATAGTACAATGGTATATCAGCATACTGATCTGTCTTGCACCACTCTTTATCCTGTGCTTCTTTTATCTTTGATGCAGAGTAATATATATTGGAGAAATTCTATTAACTGCCCCTTTGGATGCCTATATTTCACGAAAATCCTTGTGAAGTAACAAATGTCATACATGCTTCTTTAAGGTTAATGAACATCTACAAATGAAACTCCAATTGATAGATGTTTTATTTCTTTTGAAATTTAACTGTTATCAGTAAAAATCCAATTCTACACTGGGATCATACTGAAAAACGCCCTAAAATATCTTGAATCAAGATTTATCCTTGGATAAAAAAAATTGGGCAAAACGAGACTGACCTGCTATGGATCAGGACTTGTTTTGACCTGTGAGTGATAAAGATATTGGTAAGGCTTGTTCTGACCTTCATTGATAAAGATATTGGTCTATTGAATATCTGCCCATAGAAACTCATCATTGACATAGCAAGGTATAATGTGGAAAAAAAGAGAAGCAACATTAAGAGTGGGACCATTTTAAACATTTAATCAAACCTCAGTTTAATGCTAGTTAAGTATATCCTTGTCGAGGGTTAATGATACGCAGGGTATATATGGAAGAATATGAGATGAAGATGGGCATCCTTTGAATTTATGAAGGGGCACCAAATTTTGGATTTTATGCTTCCTACTTTTTACTACTAAGTGGATTGAATGATGTACCACTATTACCTAACTATGGTATCAATGGATGTAGGAAAAAGTGTAACTATTTGGTCGTCTTTCATATCAGATGTTTTCTCATTATTTTTTGGCCATGTGTGTGTTACAGCTTTCTTCATTACATTTGTTTTCTTTCTTTACTTTTAGCATGTTTACTCCCATTGTAAGTGAATTTTCTTTCCTCGTGTATATACCTTTTTTGATATGCCAATTATTTTTCATATTGTGTTTTTAGATTCTCAAGTGGAAGTATTATGTCATCTTTGTTCAGCATGTGTTTTCCTTAAAGTAATGGAATTGTTGAACTTGTTCCCTGTCTCTTTGTTTGTTTGCAGATGGAATTGTGCATAATGTTGCTAGAATGCTGCAGTCAAGAGAGAACATATCTACGATATTATGGTCTTCTTGGGCAGCGGTTTTGCATGATTAATAAAGTTCACCAAGAAAATTTTGAGAAATGCTTTGTGCAGCAATATTCCATGATACATCGCCTTGAAACTAATAAGCTGCGCAATGTGGCAAAATTCTTTGCTCATTTACTTGGAACAGATGCACTTCCATGGCATGTACTTGCTTATATACGCTTGACCGAGGAGGACACAACATCATCTTCTCGAATCTTCATTAAGATTCTCTTTCAGGTATGTACAAGTTGTTCTTAGATTACCTTTTTTTTCTCCATCGACTGATGATGTTGATAATAACTTTGAATGCAGGAGTTATCAGAACACTTGGGAATTCGTTTACTCAATGAACGTCTCAATGATCCTACCATGCATGATTCATTTGATTCTATATTTCCCAAGGATAACCCGAAAAATACTAGATTTTCCATCAATTTCTTCACGTCAATTGGGCTGGGTGGTATCACTGAAAACCTGAGAGAACACCTGAAAAATATGCCAAGGCTAATCATGCAACAACAAAAACCAGTTACTGATTCTGAAGATGAATCTGGAAGTTCAAGCAGCTCAAGTTCCGACTCTGATTCGGGTTCAGAATCTGAGTCAGAATCGAGCTCAGATGAAGGCGAAAGGGGCAGGAGGCACTCCAGGAAACACAAGAGGAATTGAAATACCTGGTGAAGTAACTAAGTCTCTTATGCATTCTCTTTTACTTTCTGATGTGTAACTGCTTCTATGGTAACCAGATATTGTTTTTCATGTGCTAATAACAACAGCCTTAATATTCCCTTTTTTAGCAAGAAAAGCTCTAGTTTTTTGTGTGTTAGTTGTTACTATATGTTCCATTTGTTATGGTTAAGATTTGGCTTTCTAGTAGGAATATGATTAAATGTATCCATTAGCTTCGAGTAGAGTAGCATCTTCATATTGCTAGAGAATTAGTTATTCATAATAAAGATATCTAAATAGTTGTCTATAATTAATAGTTTCTTTCACTTATGATTCATTAGGAACCCAAAAGCCTTTGATGCTTTTGTTTGAAAGGCTTGTTATTTTCTTAATATGAGGTAAAAAATAGTGATGGTATTACCTGAAAATATTGTTGAGACAATCCAATCAGCTTTTTGATGCTTAAAAAGTGACAAGCTTAATTTTGAGATGACTCCCTACATAGAGTTATTAGTGACACCCCTTGTGAAAAAAATTATATGGTCCAAGTGCTTATGGATTTTCATTATTCCAGTAATTAGAGTTAGTACATGGAATGCCACAATGTGGTAGTGATTCATCTTAGAAAATAAAATAAAGGTAGTTCACATGATAATCATATTCTTTTGGTTGCACACTTGTTGTCTAGCTAATCTGGCGCAAAAATTATTGGATATGCAATATAGATCCAGTTTTTCTTGGAGGTTTAATCAAACAAAATACTGTTAGTTGCTAAATCTGGCACAAAAATTATTGGATATGCAATGAAGATCCAGTTTTTCTTGGGGGTTTAATTAAACAAAATACTGTTAGTTGCTGAATTGTTTTTTATACGTTCCTTGAGATGATATTGTGAGGAAGATAGCTTGACTTTATTGAAATGCTTCCAACCTAATGTTGCGTGGTACATATGTATTGCATCACACACACAGCACACTCAAGTTCCACGGGGGTTATCATGTAGGATGGGGAAAAGAAGAGGGATTTGAACTCAACCCTTTGCAAGGGATCCCAATGGTCCAACCATCCAAGCTGGTGGACACTGGCATGTGGGGATCTTTCAATTCATCAAGAATGAAATATAAGTGAGCTTTCTCCTGTCAAGGTTAGGGCATATACATAAGATTATGTCATAAGTATGTCCTGTTTCAATGCTTGATGCAGGAATAATTGATGAGCAATTAATATTTATTATCATTTAAATGTAATTGTTCACTGTCATCTTCGTGTAATTAAAGAAAGTTTCATTTATTTGGTTATTGGCATTGGTGATCAGATTCAGTGCAGTTCTTCCTACTAACAGCCTTTGAATAGCAGTAATCATTATAGGCTTTTGACATTACATTTTTCAGGATCATGAATAGCAGTTCTTCCTACTAACAGCCCTTGAAAGTTTCTGATTTCACTTTTACTCTTTCATCAGGCATTTATAAATAGGGGAGAACATCTTGAGGGAAGCTTATGCCTCGTAGTGAAGTGCTGAAGAACTTTTCATGGCTAGTTCGAAAAATATTTTACAGAATGCAGATAAAGCTGCTATCGTCTGCTTTTGTACCTTGACAATCAGAATTTGAAGTCTTTCCTTAGCCATCTGACAGCATTTCTTCATGAAGTAATCTCCCTGACATTTAATTCGGGATGCTTGCAACATCAGAGTATCGCCATACATTTTTATTGTAAGTCTTAACCTTGGCGATTTCTTTTCCATCCACGTGGCTATTCCTTGTTTATGGTTAGGCGGCGGAGTGGAATACCTCTTTTGAACTGATGCATCGTGTGAAGTCAGTCGTCAACCCTTTCATGTCAGAATAGTCTTTGTACTGTAAATCTTATTAGTTTTCCTGTAGACCCAACGGGATGGATGTAAGGAGTATCCAAGCTATTTGTTTGTGCTGAGAACGGATGTCTTGGACATGATATTTTCTAGGTTAAGGGAGAACGGATGTTTGACAACTTTCGATGCCTATGTTGATCGGTAGAACTAGTTTTGACACCAAAAACACATGGAAAATTCTGCAGCAAGTTCTTCGGATTACAAGAACGTGAATGTTGAAGATGAGTGGGCCGAGAGGGGCGGCCGCTAGGTAGTGATTTTTTTTAAAAAAAAAAATAAAAAGCTTTAATTACTGAGGATAAAGTGTACAAAATGTCTCACAAAATAAATAAAAAAGTAACTCTTTAAGGAAAACCTTCCTTCCAAAGGATCAAAGACAGTGATTGTCGTCCATTTAAGCTATTTAAGGATTTTTTTTTTCTCGTAACCGTTTGCCAAATTATAGATATCATCTTGGAAATCATAAATATCATCCTTTGTTTTTGTTTTTATCATGAATGAATGAAGCTTTAGAATCATCCATTGTAGGCACCTATCACTTTTTTGTATGTGTTTCAGCTCTTTGTTGTAACCTTTTGTATGTGTTTTAACTTTTGAGGTCTTTATTCTATTTCCTTTCAAATGATAAAATCTTTGATGGATTTTTTTTTTAGGATCATTCAGCAGATTTCAAGAAATCATATTCTTTTTCATCTTTACAACATATGTTATATCTTCCAAAGTATACATTGCTTCATCAATCGTTTTGATCTTTATTTTACCGACACCCATGACATGACTCTTATTGTAGAGTCATTACCTACACTCACGTATTTAGTAAATAAAAATAATTATTTTAAGAGTAAATATAAGTAACACAAGTAAAATCCAAAAACTAACTCTTCTTGAAAGATGCATTGTTACCTTTGGAGATTGTGAGGATATCTCCATCACAAGAGAATACTCACCGATCTTTTCTTTTTATTTTTTTCTCAAAATAATTCTATCTAATATGTTCGTACACTTTATTCTTTAGCATTGAACATTATCCAAAGACCTGATTCTTAATCTCAACCTACCACATTAAGATATACTCCTATCAGAAAATCATCCTCATCGATCTCTATCCTGAACAGCTAATACCTCACCATTCATATACCCATATGTATTCTTTTTCTTAGTTAGCATAAGACACTAAGGCTACTTCAACTTATTCCAAAGTTATTGTATTCTTCTCACATAGTATCATCTCGAGCGATATAAGAATTAATAGTGCCTTATCTTCTTTATCAATCTTCACATCAACTTTCTTCGGTTGATCTAATATTCCTTTGAATATGTTTAAATGTTTTATCAAGACTCCAACTTTCTCTATCCTTTGTCTATATAATTTTTGTTTCAAATATAATTTGTTAGTTAACCTTTTAGTCAGATAAAATCTTTCTTATTTATTTGAAATAATCGTAGTGGAGTTTATCATTAATAATATGCATAAATGAATAGTGCTCACGTACTTTGCCACAAACACCTCTCAATCTTCATCATTCATCTTCTTTAGCTTGTTTTCTCGTCTCTTCAATATTCAGGCTAAGTCATATTGAACAAGAAAATCTTAGGATGAAACTATTTTTTTATTAAATTTCTCTATAGTAAAACAAAAAGAAATAAACGATGATATCCTTATTAAATATCTAGTTATCGGATCTTTTAGGCTTTACCACTTTATTGGGAAGAGAGAGGAATTATAAAAAAAACATCTAACACCAAAAAAATTAACACAAGATTAATATGGTTCAGTAAATCTACAGGAAAAATTAAATTCTATAATATAAAATATTAAGTACAAGACCCTTGAATTATCCTCACTCAAACATCACTTGAAGAACTTTTATCTCAACCCTCTTTAAAAACCCTAAAGATCATGTCTTTATTTTCCTCTCACCAAAACCGTAAGATACAAACCCTAATTCACTAAAAAGTTTCAATTTAATAAGGACTCTTCCAACTAATTTGAATATAATTAAAACTCTTAAAAATACTCACTAATCCTAAAATAAATTTTTATTTGCATGTCCTCTGCATCTGCTTCTCTAAATGAATCTTACTGCTGTTCCGCGTCGCTGTTCTTATGTGCAACAAGTGTATTCTTCTTTATAGCATTAAACACAATCCTATGACGAATCTTTTCAAGCTGCAAAAGATCTGATTTAGATATCACAATACTTTGTGGAAGCAGCAAGTGGGAATTTTGTTGCTCTCTTCATTCGATCAGGGATGGTGATAAGACCCTAAAGTCTTATCGTAAAAAAGAAGAAGAGAAAGAGGATGATCACTTTGAGGGGATCGGCCTCCTTGATCGCTTCGAGGGGATCGGCCTCTTAAGGTTTGTCAAAAGACAGAATAATATTTTTCATAGATGATCGAAAAGAAGCAGTTACATCCCTATTTATAGAGTTTCTACTTTAGCCTTGTCCTCAAGGAAAACACAGAAAATAAAAGGAAAAAAAAAAAGGATCCTAACAATCCCACCTCCTTTAATTCAGCCTTGTCCTCAAGGCTGAGCAGCATCAAATTATGGAAACTTCTCCTTTAGCATACTGTAGGACTTCTAAGTGGCATCTTCCTTTGGTAAGTTGGCCCATTGCACCAGCACTTCAGTTACAGGATGTCTGCGGTACATTGCAACTCGTCGATCAAGTATGACTTGTGGTTGAGCTTGAACTTCCCCAGTAGTAGAAGTGTCCAGCAAATGACACTACACTATTGCATCTTCACCCAATTTCCTTTTAAGGCATGCAACATGAAAGACTGGATGTATTTTAGAGCTAGCAGGCAAATCCAAGCGGTAGGCCACTGGTCCAATGTGTTCTAATACATTATAAGGCCCAAAAAACCGAGGAGATAACTTCATGGAAGATCGGACCTTTATGGAAGTTTGCTTGTAGGGTTGAAGACGAAGGAAAACTCAATCACCCACAGTAAATTCTCGTTCACTTCGGTGTTTATCAGTTTGTTGTTTCATTCTTGCTTGTGCGGCTGTGAGGTTATCCTTTAAAAGCTGAATAATCTTATTTCTATCCATCAATTCCTTGTCCACTTGATCAACTTTAGAAGAACCGGGTACATACTTTGTAATTGTAGGTGGGGGTTCGCCATAAACTATTTCAAATAGAGTCATTTTAATAGAAGAATGGTAAGAGGTATTATACCACCACTCTGCCCAGGGAAGCCATTTGACCCATTCCTTCGGCTTGTCTCTAGTAAAGCATCGGAGGTAATTTTCTAGGCACCTGTTTACCACTTCAGTTTGCCCATCTATTTGCGGATGATAAGCAGTGCTCATATTCAGCTGAGTACCTTGTAAACGAAAAAGTTCTGTCCAGAAGGAGCTAGTAAATATCTTGTCTCTGTCACTAACAATGGAACGGGGACTCCCATGTAATTTAGCTATGTTTTCCACAAAAATATGAGCAACACTTGCAGCAGTATAAGGATGTCGTAAAGCACAAAAATGAGCATATTTTGTAAGTCTATCCACGACTATAAGTATAGTACTCTTTCCTTGAGATGATGGGAGACTGTCAATGAAATCCATAGATATGTCGGTCCAAGTAGCATCTGTTGAATCTCGGATTTTGATGATGAAGTCAATTGTCATTTGTTGTCTAATCTATGTGTTGAGATAAGTGTGCAGGATTAACTACGATGAAAGTTAGACAAGCAGCAGGAGTTGCGCCGGAGTCAAGTTCATGATCATGTTGGAAGTTCGAGAGTTCGACAGAAGTTCGAACGGTTGTCGGAGGTTCTGTGAGAACAGATCCGAGAAGTCCAGAAGCTTGCCAAGCGAAGCTCGTCGGAACTTGCCAAGTGGATCG